CTTTGTTTTGAGCTTTTCTTTTCTTTTTTTCCCCTCATTTCCTTGAACTATTAACTCCATGAACGTCAGCTCAAATCCTACTGATCGCACATCTCTGCAACTTCCTACTACCAACTACCTAGATAGTACACATAATCAACCACCTGATTAATAATTCGCTTGTCTTTTCCCCCTTCGCAGCCCTATTGATTGTTTTTTCCTTATTCCCCTCCCTTTTTCTTTATGTGAGCTTTTCCGTTTCCTCCCTCGTAATGGACTTGAGAGAGCTATGATTGTAATGAACCAACAAGGAAAAGTAAGGGAGAGAGAATAATAAAATGATAGTAAAAAATATTAAAATTTAAAAAATATATATATACAAAGATAAAATAGTTTTTTTTACAATTATTTTTCAAAATTATCTCTAAAACACTATTTTACTAATTTTTGAGAGTTTTTTTTTTTTTACATTTTGTAAATTTACTCTACTTCTAATTAAAATATAATATTACTAACTTTTACTTAAAATACATACTTCTAATTTTTCCAAATTATTTATAAACACTCCCTTAAACTTCAGCTTTAGCTTCAACTTCCATCAATTTTATTCAAGTGAATCACAAGTTAAAAAGTTACAATGCAAACACTTTAAGACTACTTTTCAACTTTGAAAAGTGTGAATTCACTTTTCATAAGCCCGTGCAAACACTTTTTAAGTTAGAATAATTGATTGGCTTGGTTGACTGATTCACAAAAATGAATCATTTAAACTCATCATAATAGACCCACCTTGCCTAGACTATCAATGTTCTATTAGTAATTTATAAACTTTTTTTATTACAATATCAATCATAAACTAACAAATTTATGTAAATTTAAAATAATTACAATAGATTTCTTTCCTTTTAAAAATTGGATTTTTATAGAGGGAATGGTTCTTTGCTTTTGGAGAAACATATATATATATACGTGTGTATTTGTGTGTTAAAGCTAATAAAATATTTTGAATATTTGTCAATTTATGAAAATGCCATTTGTCAGTTATAATATGTCACGCCCCGAACCCCGGGGCCGTGACCGGCACTGGGATCCACTGAACCCAGTAAGCCTCAACAAAACCAGTCGAACTCCAAATATATAAAACATACACAAAGTGTAATAATATAACATCTAAAAATCACCCGGGATCCTGTCTGAGAGTACAAGGAAGTTCCTCTAGAATACAATCGGGTAAAGTACAAAAGAGAAATGCCCGTACATCTATCAAGTCCGCTGTCGTCGACTTCCACACTGGCACGCTAATCGAGGCGAGTACAGTCAAAAGAATCTGGAATGTTTAAAACTATGAGTCGCGAAACTCAGTGAGTACGGTGATACCTAATCTATGCATGTCAGGATACATATCATAGCACAAGTTTAAAACCCTAAGCATACAGCGATCAGTAAAACATGACAACATACACTCAAGAATGCTATCAGCCAACATCAAATCACATCACTGGACTCAGGCCTACCCCACACTAGACGCTACGGTCATCGCACTTCGGCCGAGTCTCTGCCGTCCCCTCACGGACTCAGACCGACTCACCTACTGGACGCTACGGATCACCGCACTCTAGCCGAGCTCCTGCCGTCCACAAATCCCATCACAGCACACCACCCTCACATCCAAGCCAAACAGATATACAGCCCATATACAGTCCATGTCTCAAAAACCAAAATCACATACCGACACGACTCCCTAACAGTTCACAAAACACGTAGCACATAACCCGAGTAACATATAATCAAAACACAATTTTTCAACCCACAAAATCATCATATCAGAAATCACAGTATGAAAACACAAGCATAGAGAAGATATCATCACTCACAGTACAGACACTAAGCCAAAACGAGAGTCCCAAGTCACCTAGCCCGACTCAGTAGTCCGGGTGTGCCCTGCCTGCGAATCTGCAATCAAAATCACACAAAAACCATCACCAACGCCGAAACCGGCACGAGAAATAGGCTCGGTAGCCTCAAACCGAACTAAAATCCTAAACTGGCCCCTTGGCACGCATCTCGAGGCAACCCGACCTGTCACCAGGACCTACGCGACTCAGTAACACTGAACAAATCTACTTAACCACCCTCAATACTACGGAACCAGCCCCCACAAACCTCGAACCACAGCGAATCGCCCTCCAAAACCCTTGAACCAGCTTAGCCCGGTCTAGAACTACCTCCAGCTCAACTCAAATGGCCACGAAACCCTCAAAATCGGATTCAGAAGGCCCAAAAACCCTAGGAACCACTATGAACCGGCCAAAAATGGCTCAAACCAGCTCCGAACCGGGCCAAAAACCCTAATCCTAAGTATCGGCACGCAAACCGAGACCGGTTCACCTCGAACTGGGCACCCAGAATTTTCCGAACCCACTTGGTCTGATAGCCCTCATCCCCCGAACCTAGAACCGGTCCAACCTCCAATTCTAAGCCAAAATGGCCACTGAACCGGCCGGTCAAAGCCCCTGGCCGGTTCGATCAAACCCTTCCCCTTTTTTTTTTTTTTTGCTTGAGCCGCGGCTTGGCTTGAGCTGCCAGCCCAGCGGCTCGGCTTGGCTCGGCTCAGCCGCGGCTCAGACCCGCCTGGGCCAGCCCACTCAACTGGGCCGGCCCAAGCCCAACACACCTTTTTTTTTTTTTTTTTTTTCTAGCCCGCAGGCCAAGCCTGCGGGCCCGTGGCCCAATCCACCAAACGGGTTGGCCCGGGCCCAACTGGCCCAGGCCCAACCCACACAAGCTGGCCGAGTCAACCCGGTGAGCCGAGTCGACTCGGCCGATTCAGCTCAGCACGGACCCAGATGCAACCGGGTCCGTCTTCTTCACCCGCCCCCGACCCTACTCACACAACCGGGTCTGTAATACGACCGACACACCCAACCTCAAAATACTCGGATTTGGATGCTTACCTGGACCAAACGACCTCCCGAAACCACGGATTCCACCCCGGCGACCCTCAACAAAGCACCTAATCGGACTAGATCGATCCAAATGCCTCAAAATTCGAGAAAACTGATCCGGCCATCCGTGAACCCAGTTCGGCCAAGAACCTCAAAATCCTCTCCAATCTCTCTCCAAAATGCCAAATAGCTTGAGGGCTTCTGTTCGTCGGACAAAGACGAGCATAAATGCTCGATTCAATCGGCTTACCAACTCCTCATCATCACGGTAAGGAAGATACAGTAACCGGGTACTGTTCTTGACAGAATTTTCTGTCAAATTGCAACCCAGCCTTCAGCTTTTAGTTCCTCACAATCTGGTCCCTGTGATATTTTCAATTTGATCCCCACAGATTTCGATTCTTGCAATTTGGTCCTCCACCTTAAAATTTTTAGAAACTGGGTCATTACATAATACGTATATTTTTTTGTTTGAAAATAACATTATTTTTGTAATTATTTATATGTATACAATTTTTCTTTTGATTTAGTCTAAATTTTTGAATTTTGAAGATAATTTAGTTAATTTTCTGATTTTTAAAAGAAAAATGTAAAAACTGTTCTATGCAGGGAAAGGAAAACAATCTAGTTATAAAGAGATTTAAATTTGTGCATAATTTTTTTGATAATTAGCTTTTATTATAATAGAAAAACAAGGATGCAAATGTCTGATATACTTATCTGGTTAATTTATATAAATTAAAATGGAAACTTATAAGTTTTCTTCTTCTTTTTTTCCCTTTCAAAAAGTTTATCTTAATTACAGAAAATACCCCATAATTTTTTTCATAACAACTTCTATCCTCATCCACCTAAAAAACAAAAAGAAATTAAAGAGGAATTTAGTAACTCAAGAAGTGTTGGCTTGATCCTCTTCGTGAATTTGGTAAGACCTCCAAATGTAAAACCCACCCCAAAAAGTCCTTATAAGCCAGCTTCTTTATGATACTTCTTTTTGGAGGGGGGGGGGGGGGGGGCTTTGAGGGCTTCTATTGGCCAGTTACACTCGTTTTTATTTTTATTTGGTCACTAATTAATTGTTAAAGAAAAAGTAGAGTTATTTTTTAAATAAAAATTTATAAATTTTTATATTTTGGAGAAAACCAAAAAAATTTAAGTTAAAAAGTTATTTTTTTTAATCAAATTAAACAATCAAAAGTTGAAGCTTATGATATAATCACAAAACAAACAAGCCTTTAAGTCCCACAACCCGCATCTACCAATCAAACCTTCAAAGTAACAGTACATAAAACAATGAGTATCCGAAAGTTTAGATTCGACCAAACTTTTCTTGTGCCGTGGTTGATGATCTGGAGGACACTCGTCTATATCCGGTTTCCTTCCCGCTCCCACCGATCCACCCAGTTTCCCTCTCCCTCTCCTTCGCCTGTCACATAAAGACGTCTATCGCGACAAGGCTCTTTTTCTCTCTCTAGAACGCCTCCCGGTTTCTCTTCCTGAAAACCTCATCAATTATATTCAGAGCTTACGTTTGCGAGTTCTTGCAATTCTCTGATCCTGATCGCTTATTTCGCAATTGCACGGCTAAATGGTTTCATGGAAAGAAAAAGTTTCTGAGAAGTTCTCTCACCTCTTCTCTCATTCGTCCACTTCTCAGTCTCCCGTGCTCGATCAATCTAGGGTACTCTCGTCCTTGTTGAAATTCGTATATTTTTGTGTTTGTATGTTGTTTCATTAAGCTGATTTGGCTTGATTGGTTGCGTGCCAGGTTAATCTGGTCTTTGATTGCGAAAGAAAATTAGATCTCTTAATTTTTTGGCAATGCTGTTTTATACGTGATAATTTGAATGCTCTAGAGCCATAAATTATTCCATTTTTTAAAATCGAAAAAAGTTGTTTATTTACCTTCAAATAAATTTGCTACACTGTTTTAGGTCTGTAATATAAACGAATTTCTGATTTCGATATGTAAACTCCTCGTATTTATGGTGTTTCCTGAGGAATAAATACGTTTTTATTTTGTCTTGTTTGTCATGTTAGCTTTTGTTTCTTGTTCTTATTATGTTTGTAGTCACCATGAATAGTGAAGCTAGTTAAATACAATTGAATTTTTCATTAAATGTGAATTATGCTTAGATTATGCATTTTTCTATTATATTTTTCATACTAGAGATCGTGGTATTAATTTGTCTTTCATTCTTGTTTCATGCCGTGAACGACATCTTTGCAATTCATTATTATTGTTATTATTATTTGTTTTGTACAGAACAAAGTTGGCCACTCTCTTTTAGTTTAAAAAATCAATTTTGTGAATCCATTGTTGAGATTTGTATTTTTCCAGTGGAAAGTAGCTCATTCTAATTTATACTTCTTATGTCAACTAGTTGCTTGGTGGTTGATATGATTATTTGTTCTGGAATAACAAATTTAAGGAGATGAAAACTTGTGATATTTTCTTTTTCTTTCACCTGCACTTACATTTTGATCATGTCAAAATTTGTAACACTAAGTTTCAAATGTGTAGGCCAGACCACACCCTAAGGAGAGCAAACCCTTGTCTTCAATCTTTTCTTTAATTCTCCCTCATCAGGCTTTGATGGGACTAAATCTATTAAGGATGGGAATGATGCCGAGCCAATTCAGTCATCTCCTGTCAAATGGAAGGGTACTAGTATGTCATGGCAAGACAAACCATTGGATTGTAATGAGAAATGTGATAATAATTCAAGGGAGAGCAGAGTAACTAGAAATTCATGTGAAGACTCTCAACAATGTGAGACTGGAAGAAGCTATGAAAGTGAGAGAATGGGAGCTTCAAGCAGCCATGAGGATGGAGACCCAGGCTCTGGAAGAAGCACTAGCAGTTCAGAAATATTTGAAGATGCAACAGACCGTCACAATATAGAGAAGTATATGCCGTATCTCACAGAGGAGTCTTCCTTCGTTTATCCAGAATTATACGAGTGTTTAGTGTCATCTCTTCCCAATATAGTGAAGGGATGCCAATGGGTTTTGTTGTATAGGTAAGCTTTAATTCACTGTCTACCCTGGAATTTTATTTTTAAAACTTTGATTACCGCAGCATTTCTTTCCAATGAAGGGCAGTACGATAAAACATGGTATATCACTCCGCACGCTTATTCGTAGAAGTGCTGATCTTCCTGGTCCTTGTTTGCTGGTATGTGTGGATATATGTTATGGAACATTTAGAAAATTACATTTTGGCAGCCTTGTCTTGTTTTCTGGCATGGAAATGCTCAATTGTAACTGCACCTTCTAGATTGTTGGAGACAAACAAGGCGGGCGCGGTGTTTGGTGGACTACTACAATCCCCTCTAAAACCTACTCCGAAGCGGAAGTACCAAGTGAGTATGCTTTGATAATTAACATTGTGAAATTATCAATAAAGTAATACACAAAGAAGTGCACCTGAGATTTATTTTTGGTTATCTTATATTTTTTAATGGTTAGTCTGAAAAGATGCTCATATTGAATTTTTTGGCAACTATTTTTGTTAGGGACAAATCAAACCTTTGTGTTTACAAATATATATGGTGGACCAAGGTTGTTCAGACCACTGGTAAGTAGATCATCACTTTTTCTCTGCAGTATGCAAACTACATGATTTGTGTCTATAATTCCATATGTTTTAATTGTATCTGCATCAGTACTTTTACATACATCATGCACTCTAAGGTGCCAATGGCATTGCGCTTGAGTGAAGAGAGGTGCACAAATGAATTATTTATAAGTTCATTTCAAATATTAATAACTTAAAATATGGAAAATATTTAAACTTTGGAGTGAACTATTTATGTTACAGGTTTTTGTTCAGTAAAAAAAGAAATACTCTCATCGAATGAAAAAGAAACGCATAATAAAAGATGGGAGAAAAGGATATATAATACAAATTTGAATTATGTGAGTAGAATTATGAAATAAAATTTCATAAAACCAAAAAATAGACAGCGAGAATCAAATATAGAGATATGATTGACAAAGAGATGAGAGAAGCAGAGGAGAGAAACACGAGTGTGATAGACATAGTTGGTGTGAGAGACGAGATGAGATGTGAGAAACAATACAAGAGAGAGAGTGGGAGAGGCCAAACTGTATATTAAAGGGTTAGAGGGGCAATGATGAAAAGGTAAGAGAGAAGAGAAGAGATGGGAGAAGTTGAGAGAGAAAACATGCCAGGTGGTTGCTGGTTCTACCAGGGTCAGCTGGCATTGCCAAACAGTGGAGTTTCTGGAGACGAGAGTCTGGGGAAGTCTTCACCCTTCTATCATTGATGTTGATCCCTTGCCTAGGTCCTTATCCATTCTTATTCTTTTTCTTTTGTATTATTTTTTATTTCAGTATGTCAGACTATGAAGGGACTGATTTGGTGGGGGGTCTCACATATACACTTTTGAGCCTCATAAAAGAACACTTTACATTCTTGTACAGCGAAGCATATCTTTTCTGCACCTTGCAGATACACTTCAGAGGTGCATACCTCAAGCACCTAGATGAAACATTAAAACTGCTGGCTGCGCCTGCTAATGTGCTAAACCTTGCACCTTATGCGTGCTTTTAGCAACATTGACTTGAATTGGTCATGTTAAACTGAACCAAAAGTGGTGTACTTCCAAATGTTTTCATTGTAAGATTTCCTTAGTATGATATTCTTTATTACTTCTGAAAATAGAGAAC